GGTATGGAATGATCGGTTAGTTGACAATGTTGAATAATAGTTCACGCGTAGTAGAATATCCCAATGGGTCCCCAGGAATACCAGTAGGCAAATAAAATGGAAAGTTATTGTCCTTCCTCACTTGAATATAAGATTAAAATGTTATTTGGGTTATTGTTTCTACAGGTCGATTTTGAAAATCTCGTAAACGGTAAATATAGGCAATAAATAGTTTTCTTTATGATAAATGAATTTATTTAATTCAAGAGCTCCATCGATTATTTTTTTAATTTTTACCAACCTTCAGTTTCTGTATCGGTGAATAGTGTGATATTCTTACTGAGTTAGTGTATCTCACTATTTTATTAACTATTTCATATCAAGAGGAACAAGACCCACATCCCAATCAACAAGAGGGTTGTGAATAGTTCACTACCCGGACTCCCTTCAAAAGCTAGTGAAGATCGTTTTAGAATGCTCAGCATATCGTCTTTTATTTATTTTCTTGATTTTATTTATTTTTTTAGAAGGGTCATTCCCGTAGCTTTATTGGGCACTCTAAATTATTGTGTAAGAAATGTAAACCCTAAACTTTATTGTTTTGCTTCCGCATTTAATACATGACTTTATTTCCTTTTAAGTTATGGGTTGGTACAATTGGTATCAGAGCCGCGTTTCTCGGAACCATTCCTTATGACACCAAATACGAATTATTGCCCAACTCTTCCTTGTAAAAAATAAGTACAAAAATACGAAAAGATGAGGTCCCTTGCTGAACAGGACAGCCCAAGACGGGTTGCTTCGAGAGGATATCGATCGGTTCTTTGAGATTTTAGAGAGACTCATCTCTGCTTAGTAGGCCAAAGAAGAGAGGAGGGAACTGTTTGACCCTCCTCTACTTCCACACTATGAGCCACCCCTATAACGAGAGGATCTAACACCACCTCGATGTAACTCTGCTCCTCCGTCGTATCATCCGACACCGTCGCAATCCAATTCGGAGCCTCCAGTGTAACATCCGACACCATTATAGGGTCACCCAGTCCCTCTTCAGCAACATCTAGCTCCTCTTCCAAGGGGCTCGGTTTCACCCATGATGGACCTGATTGAGATTGACACAGTGGACCCTGATGTATTTTCAAAGATGAACTGGTTAGCGACGTATTACGTCACTGTGAATTGTTCCCACGAGAAAAATTGTATTTAACCTTCCTAACAAAGAGTCATTTACAAGCCAATAAAAGTTTTGAATATTATTCTCTTATAGTAATTTCCTTATTACATAGCATTTTAACTCAGTTGTTTTCTCTAACTAGGCAAACTTAAGAAAGAAATTTGCATCCAAGAGATCTCGGTAGTCCGAGACTTTCCAAATGTGTTTACTGATAAACTTTTTAGACTATCAATGGACAGAAAAGTTGAGTTCACCATAGACCTTCAGCCTGACATGCAGCCTATC